CCCTGAAAACAATATCTAAATGGAAAGTAAGCCCTAATACATCTTTTGGAACAAAAATTAATATAAGACTTATTTTGGGGGAAACATGGTGTTTGTGTCTGTGTTTGTTTGTGTGTGTGTGTGTGTGTGTGTTATTACTAAGAGAGAGATGGAAAGAAAGAAAGAAAAATAAAGAAAGAGAGAGAGAGAGAGAAAGAAGGAACGAAAGAGAGAGAGAGAAAAAGAGAGAGAGAGAGAATAGACTACATCTCAGTGAAGTACAGAAGATGTATCTTGTCATTTTGCTAAATAGATGCACGGCTATCGAACCATGGAAAAATAGGAATATATAACATATGAAAAGTCAAAATAAAGTTTCTTTTGATGTAAACTAGACTGCTAACGATTTTCATGAATGCCACCAAATTAGGCAAAAATATCTAGCATATACAAAAATACTAAAACTGAGTTTATTGCTGAGATTATTTATGAGTTTCTGACAATAAATGTATGCATGTATGCAGACATAAACAAGAATGTTTAAGCAGTATAAAAATTAACAGCTTGATTCTAGCATACATCACAATAAATCTGTCCTCCATGTGCTAAAGGCTGATTTTTATAGCTTACATTTTCTGTATAAATGAGGGTCAAACCTAGGTTACATTAAATATGTAGCATGCAGCTGAACCTTGAAGGAGATACTGTAGTTATAAGAGAAAAGATGTATAATAATAATAATACATGAAATATTAAGTAATCCTGAGAAAAATACAAATAGAAATGGCAATCCCATTGGTTGGAAATATTGGGAAGATTTTGAGTAGTACAAAAGAGAGTAAAAACATTGAGGAATTAAGCTGGACAGCAAAAGATCTGAATAATTCAGAAGGGAGCAGTGAGTTCTTGACCAAAGAATAAATCCCCATGGACCATGTTGGACCATCTTCAGAATCAACGTTGGGAGAAAGCTTGAGAATGGAACTCATCTTTGTTGGCACAGCTTGGTCTTTGTGTTATCAGTTAGCATAGCACAAAGAAAAATAAATAGCTTCAGTCCCTTCCTCTAAATCAGTTGTCTAGGTGAGTGACCTTTGCTTGAATAAATCAAATTGCATTGTAATTTTAACTTGATAAGGCTGCCAGATTGAGAACATGGATAAAGAATTGGACAGCTCATCCGAAATTTAGCAGTTCACTGGTTGGTCAGCAATTGGGACAGGTGTTCTGAGATTATGGGTTATGGATACTGTAAATCCTCTATTTGGAATATGTTTTAAAGTTTAATTATAACTATTTATAGATCCGTTATGTAAAGGGAGGGGGATATATTAGAGTTTTGATGTATCTTTCAGCATTCAGCCATTTTTTTTAAAAAAAAATGTTTAATGTTGGGTGTATTTGGTATTTGGGGTTGGATTTTTTTATGTACACATGGCTTTCCTCTTTTTTGTTCTTAGTGTTGGATGTTTGTTAGTCTGTTTTTTTCCCTTTTTCTGTGTTTTATTTGCTGATAAAAAATAAACATGTTTGAAAAGATGGAAAAAGTTTTAAATTGCAGCCACTAAATCTTTCCTTCTCTGTATTTATCTGTGTAATCTCTCTCCCTCTCTCATATCTATCTATCTATTGTCTGCCTGCCTGCCTGCCTGCCCGCCCGCCCGCCCGCTGTTATCTGTTATTTATCTATCTAGCATATTTAAGAAACTAAACTAAGATGTAATATTTTTACTATTGTTTTTATTCAGAAATAAATCTAACATTTCTGCACAATTGTAGAATTACTACCCATGTTAGGCTCCTGTTCAGATGTCCTTCACATTTATTAAATAAATAATAAATAAATGTTCAAACGACGAAGGAAGTTCTCTCTCTCTCTCCATGTCACTAACTCACGTACCCATACACTTCTTCAAACACACACACACACACACACACACACACACACACACACACACTTATATCTACACACTTCATCCACAAAGCTACTTCTCCAGATTCGGTACCATCTGTCAAGGGCTAATGAGTTTCTGCATAATAGTGGCACTTTGCAACGTAGATATCTTTGGAAACATCATAAAGAGATTTCTTTTTTCAAAAGTGACAAAAAAGGTTGGTTTCACCATCCTAAAATATCTGTAATAGAATATTAGTCTGCTATGCTGGAATCATGTTCCCAGAACTGTCATATAACAGCTCAGTTTGTGGTATTACATTCCATGCAACAGTTGGCGTTCACAGTAGCCTTGGTATTTAAAGAGTGTTAAAGTCTGTTTCCAGTGAAAATACTTCTACCAATGAGAGCCAAATGGTTGTTCCCAAGAGTCAACTGAAAACTGTGGAAGATATAAGGGTCTGTTGTGTGATTTCTCAAGACGATGTACAATGTGGAACTATGTCGCTCTACAACTTCCCGTGTGCACATAATATTAATTCTTCCAAAGAAAAGGAACAAAACTGACATTTTATAACGTTCTTCATTAAAGCCACATGGTTATCACCATGGTTATTGCAAGTTTGCTAGCAAACAGATGTTATGTTACAGAGCCATAATTCTCCGTGATCAGTTGGAGAGGAATGAAGGTAAAGGTAAAGGTTCCCCTCGCACATATGTGCTAGTCATTCCTCACTCTAAGGGGCGGTGCTCATCTCTGTTTCAAAGCTGAAGAGTCAGCGCTGTCCGAAGATGTCTCTGTGGTCATGTGGCTGGCATGACCCAGTGCCAAAGGCGCACAAAATGCTGTTACCTTCCCACCTAAGGTGGTTCCTATTTTTCTACTTGCATTTTTACATGCTTTCGAACTGCTAGGTTGGCAGAAGTTGGGACAAGTAATGGGAGCTCACTCCATTATGTAGTGCTAGGGATTCGAATCGCCGAAATGCCGACCTTTCTGATCAACAAGCTCAGTGTCTCAGCCACTGAGCCGCTGCATCCCTTCTGATGTTATGTTACAGGCGCATAATTCTCTGTGATCAGTTGCACAGGAATATCTGTCCTCAAATGTCTGTTAAGAAAATAGGCCAATGAACAGCAATGCTAAATTCAGGTTTGTTTTTAGTGGCTTAGTTCTTCATGCTAGATTCTAAGCCATGCTTCACAAGGCACATACAATGGTGACAAGAACATAGAACAAAGCACATATTGGCATAATGAATATTCAGAATTTTTAAACTGGATAAATTAGTAGATGAGTTTAAACAAATTAATTTATATTAAAAAGTACCATAAAAATATGCCTTACTGTACTCAAAAAGTGAACTATGGGGATGAACTGATGCTTACTAATTTAGAAACAATCTCCCCCTAACATAAATTTGACTTCAGAGGAAGTTTGCTTAAAATGTTTGCTTTTATTTCCAATTCTTCTAAATTCTGCTTGCAGCCTTTAATTGGTTTGGCAATTAAAAATACAAAGTGGTTACTTCAATTGTTCATAGTTTGTAGGCCCTCCTCATTTTCTATTTTTATTATATTTCATTGGAAGGACAGAATAAATAGGTATATTATCTATGAGCCATGGTGGCAAAATGGTTATAGTGCAATATTAGAGTCTGACTCTGCCCACAGTTTGGAGTTTGATCCTGACTGGCTGAAGGTTGACTCAGCTTTCCATAGCAATATTAGACTCATATACCGTTTTACAGTGCTTTACAGCCTTCTCTGTAAAAGCGGCTTACCGAGTTAGCATATTGCCCCCAACAATCTGAGTCCTCATTTTACCAACCTCGGAAGGGTGGAAGGCTGAGCCAACCTTGAGCCTGGTGGGATTTGAACTGCCAAATTGCAGGCAGCAGAAGTAGCCTGCAGTTCTTCACTCCAACCAATGCGCCACCGAGACTCATCCTTCTGAGATTGGTAAAATGAAGACCCAGATTGTCGGGGGCAACATGCTGATACTTGTAAATTGCTTAGAGAGGGCTGCAAAGAACTATCAAGCAGTAGCAATAGCAATAGCAGTTAGACTTATATACCGCTTCATAGGGCTTTCAGCCCTCTCTAAGTGGTTTACAGAGTCAGCATATCGCCCCCAACAATCTGGGTCCTCATTTTACCCACCTCGGAAGGATGGAAGGCTGAGTCATCCCTGAGCCGGTGAGATTTGAACAGCCGAACTGCAGAACTGCAGTCAGCTGAAGTAGCCTGCAGTGCTGCATTTAACCACTGCGCCACCTTGGCTCTCTATATAAATCTAAATGCTATTGTTATTGCTATTGCTACATTATAGAATATAAAAGCACTCATAATTGGGCATTACTAGCCAAATGTTTTAAATCAACTCTTCAAATTTTATACGCAGCTCCCCATGCCTGACTTTGATCTTAAATTGGTAGCAATAATAGAAATGAAGGAGAAGAATTTTAAAGAGAAACATGTCTGAAAATTGTAAGGAGAAATTATGAGGGGGAAAAACCCGTAATAGCCCATTACTTGCCTTTCTTGTTGATGTTTACTGTGTTTCCCCCAAAATAAGACATGGTCTTATTTTCTTTTGACCCCCGAAATAAGCACTTGGCCTTATTTTCAGGGAGGTCTTATTATTTTTGAGGTGAAGGAGGCGGTGAGTGTAGTCACCTCCTGGCTGCTTCTTGTGCGTCTCTGGGCCTGAGGCAGCCATTACCATGACAAATGGGGTACGCTGGCTAGATTTATGGGAGCAGCTGTTAAGTAGGGGCATGTGGGGTGCATGGTGCATGTTTCCCCTCCCTTCCCCAGCCCTTTGGCCTTGCCTCTTCACCTCGTGTTGTTTGCGAAGCAAGCAACCAGAGGAAATGGTGAGGACCAGCTGCACATGTGTTTAAATATTTTCGAGGAGGGCTTATTTTAGCATATGCATTCAAAAGCCCAATTGGGTTTATTATCCGGGGAGGTCTTATTTTAGGGAAAACAGGGATAAACTCTTTCCTTTGGAGGAAAAGCTACATGGGACATGTAGAACTTTCTTGCAGAAAGCCACTCTTGCATGTTGATGCCCAAATCTCTATGCCTCTCCCAGTTGCTATTCTCAATTCCCCCTACTCACTTGCCATTTAAAGCTGCCACCCCAACGGTGCTTCTGGCAATGGACATATTGGCCACAAAGGTCCACTGTTGACTTTGTGGATCCCACCTCTCGACTGTATTCAAATAGCTCCAGCCATCATGACCTCCTACTGCATAAATGGGCCCTTCAAGAACAGTAACTCCTAAAAAGAAGAGGCAGAGAAAGAACGTGAGAACAGAACCAGCAACGGAAGGAAAGATTTCTAAAGGCTCAATGAGAGGTCCTCGGTGCTCTCTGAGCTTGACTGGTTTCTTGTAGATGTTTCATTACCAGGAGTGGGATTCAGCTAGCTTGGACCAGTTTGGGCGAACCAGATGCTAATTTTACATCTGGTTTGCCGAACCGGTAGCTGTCCCTGCCCACCCCACTCCTCCCCTCTCAGGAGTCTCCACGAGGCCTGTTTTTGATGCCAAGTAAATGCAGGGCCCACACAGATGCTCTGGGATGAAAAATGGGCCTCCTGTAAGTCCCAGAAACGGGCCCATTTCTGGCCTTTGGAGGGCCTCCAGAGCCTGGGGGAGGCTGTTTTCATCCTCCCAGAGGCTCAAGGAAAGCCTCCGGATCCCAGAAGGGTGAAAAATAGGCCTCCCAGAAGTTCCAGAAGGCCATATGAGAGTTCGTTTCTGGCCTACGGAGGGCCTCTGGAGTCCAGGGGAGGCTGTTTTCGCCCTTCTGGAGACTCGAGGAAAACCTCCAGAGTCTGGGGAGGGTGAAAACAGCCCCTGACATGGTGTAGGAGGCTAAGTAAAGCCATACCCACCATGGCCACATCCACTCAGCAACCAGACAGAGAACCAGTTGCTAAATTTTTTGAATCCCACCCCTGTATTATTACCCAAATGAGGTAACATCATGAAGGCTAATGAGAAATGCAAAATATATCATGGGCCAATGTAGGGATGCATGAAGTACTGACCAGGTCATACTAACATGGAGATCCTAATGAAGAGGCATCTTAATTCCACAGACTGCTTAGGTAGCTTAGAATGTTAGGCTAGGGATGGGGAATCGTTCTCTTTGGTGGGGGTGATTTTTTTTTAATTAATGCAATTGTTCATTTTCCTTCAGGGAGCTATGGAAACATGGCAGTGATGTAGCATGATGGGTGAAAGGAATATAGGGGGCTTTACTCCACTAATCACAATTGACTTTAGGAGATGCTGTTCATCCTTGATTCCAGACCACTGAGACACAGCTGTCTGAACACATTTCTGTGGTCATGTGCTCAGCATGATATCACGTCGCAGCAAAAGGCGTACAGCAAAACATAGAACACTGTGATCTTCCCATCAAAATGGTATCTATTATTTTCTAATCGCATTTACATGCTTCCTAATTGCTAAGTGGGTGGGAGTTGAGGCAGATGACAGGAGCTCACTCTATCACATGGTAGTAGGATTTGAACCACCAGAGTACAGACCTTCTCCAGCATCAGTGGTGGGTTGCAGGTGTCATGCCCCGGTATGGGTGTACCGCAGCCTGCCCAGAGCACCAGGTATCTTTCTGGTACGGAGGGCCCACCTGCACGCCCGAGCTCCTTACCTATCTTTTAAGGCTTCTGCGCTTCCGTGCATGTGGATGGTGCATAAAGTGCCTGTGTGATGCTCTGCAGAGCAGCTGGAGCATCGCAGAGGCTCACGGAGGCACTAAGATGCATGCCCGCACTGCCTGGGTGTGTGCATGTCCATGTGAGGTGGTGCAGTGGTTAAATGAAGCACTGCAGGCTACTTCAGCTGATTGCAGTTCTGCAGTTCGGCTGTTCAAATCTCACCGGCTCAAGGTTGACTCAGCCTTCCATC